TTGAAATAAATATCAAATTTGAAAAAACAGAAAAGTTAACAAAATCATTTAATGATAAACTGATGAAAAGAGCCTTTATTAATATTTAAATTAATAAAATGATAATTAATTTTGGTATATCGGATAATGTATTGATCACATATGTTTCTATGCTTTTTAGATTTATTTATAAATATTCCTATTATGCTTAATTGCTTAATATTATTTTTAAAATGGATAAATATTATAAGCTTAAATATCTTAAAACTTGTAACAACTCCTGTTTGTTAATAACAATTTTATTCTGAAAACATTGACTTGCATGATAAAATCCGACAACGAAAAGGTCGTTAGAGACAAAACTGTACAGGTTGTAATAGATGAACATTTTTGACAGGTATTAAGTTATATCGACAAACATACAATCACGTTTTATTGAAGACTACAGACTTCGTTTTAAATATTGTTTTAGTGTAATTTTCACTTGTTTAATATTATTTTTAGTAACCGTTCTCTTGTTTTCGTATAACAGATGCTTGATTCCACTGTGTGTAAAAATGTCCGCAAATATCATCATTGGTCATTTTTAAGAACATGAAATGAGATGTTATGATTTTGAAGTTCAAGAAAATGTTGATATATTTTCGTATTTAGTCTCTGTTAATGTTATTTACAAACTGTTTACAATTGGTATGAAATAGTTTCTACCATCATGTAGACTGAGCCTGTATACTTTTTAATTATCGAATACATTTAATATAACCGTTCATAAAATGAAATATATTTTATTTAATGTAGGGTTTTATGGGTTTATGATTATGGCATCAATTATTTTCAGTTTCTTTTGGCAATTTATATATTTTTGTGATGTCTGCAAGTATATGTCGAATATTGGTAGAATTATAATAACTTTGTATACAAAGTTGATTAATATGAGCCTTTATGGTACTGTTGTCAGATAAATAGTGTGTGAGTCGACGTGAAAGAGTTGTGGTGTTTCGATTATTGTATAAGTTAGATTCTTTTAAATTAACATTGGAGATACAAAAAAATGAATGAAACTTAAAGTACCAAACATCCAACCCAGTGTTGAAAAACAAATACATTAAAGATTTCTTGAATTTCAAAAACATTTTATCTCAATTTGTTTTAAAAAATGACAAAAGATGGTTGGAGAGTTGATTGTAAAATTGACCATTCTTTGGGCGATATACAAACTTTGTTATGTATATGTATATATAGTTTGGAAATATTTTTAAAACCTTCAAATTTCATCCAATTATATATATATATATATATATATATATATATATATATATATATGTGTGTGTGTGTGTGTGTGTGTGTGTGTGTGTGTGTGTGTGTGTGTGTGTGTGTGTGTGTGTGTGTGTGTGTGTGTTTATGTGTACACATGAATATAAACAAATTAATACAGACCGAAAATTTCAACAACGACAGAATGAGAGAAATCGTAGAAAAGTAAAAGAGAATAATTTTTCAAATAATTTAATAAATCTTTTAGCAGAAAAACATTATGAAAAGCTCAACAAAACATTTGCATTAAAAGCAGGAAATTCAGACACCATTTTGATGACCACCACCGGAAAAAATTCAATAATTTAATTGCAAAAAAAAAAAGCAGCAATTTCTTTCTTAACGCTGTTTCAAGTTTCGTTTTGGGACTGACGATTTTGAAATAATCAATTTACAATGTTTTATTTTGATCCCATCACCCCACAATAAACTATCAGTATTAGTGTGGGGCCTGAAACTATATAAAGGTTACAGGACTCCTGTTAAAAACTTTGCACCAGAATATCAAGTGCAGAATCCTCTGGAAGATTGTGGGGCTCTAAGCTGTACCATTTTAACTTATATCTAAATCCAGCATTACTGACGGTTTTATCAGAAATAGGATTCCAGTATTGGCTTTTGCATTTTTCACTTTCTCTTTACAAGCTTTGCTTTAGTTTCTGGGATATTTAAAATATAGCGTGGGCACCTCGAGGAGGTGTAATGGTTAGCAAGCTTGTCTCGCTAAAACAATTACCACTGATTAGTGAGTTCGATTCTCACTGAGTGCTCTATACTTTCGGCCTTGTGCCACAACTAAGCTACGCTTGGAAAATCACTATTTAAAATATAGCGTATATATATATATATATATGTGTGTGTGTGCGTGGGGGCATGGCAGTGGGTCCCAGTCTAGTCCATTTTGTTACAGGACCGTTGAGCCTGCAAGAAGTGTCACCCACTTTTTCATAGTTCCTTTTTTTTTTTTAATCATGCTGGATGTCTTGCTACCTTCCTCCCTAGAAATAACCTGGCGGAGGAGCCGATTGAGTTGCCGATGCCCCGACCATGCGGCAGGTGGTTCTGGGTTACATGATACCAGTAACCCTCTTAGTGTGACCCTCTTAGTCTTTCTTCTGGTCGCTTCTCTTATCAGTACTCTTGATCATGCCGAAGATCACATTCATGCCATAACGGTAGACATCAGCAAATCGGACTATCAATTCACTAAGGATTTCTACTTGTTATAGTTAATGAAAAGGAAATAATAAGCTATATAGCTGTTATATTCATTGTTACTAATGACAAATAGAAGCTATTGCATGCAATATTTACTGGTAATCTAAACAAAATAGCCATTATTAATATTAGGTTTGTGATATCCAAATGAATCCGACGTCATTTAAATAATAGAAAATAATTCAGAAACATCGTTAATCGAGGACTTTTGCTGCACGTTAATATGCGATGGATTTGATTAGTAACAAGCGCAAAAAGATCAATCAAATTTTGTGGTGAGGATAATTTAATCCCAATCAGAAAACTTAATACTGAAGTATTACTCTTTTGTATTTTCAACTGTTTAACTTGTATTGATTTTATTTATGCTGAAAATCTTAGAAAAATGTCGCGAAAGACGTTATCTTTGATCAAAATCAACTCTTTTGATGAGTTCCTTTGTTTTAGTTGAGGGTTTTGCAATTCTGTTCTTTAAACGTAAAATTGGATTTTCATCGAAAACGCCGATCATTCCTATGAAAAAGACAAAGAAGTTTCTTGCGTCTCCTAATTAATACCAAGGCTTCTTTAAAGCTAACTGGCTACTGAATTAGACAGTTTCATTCTGACATTAAATATTATGTTTTTTCAACATTTTTTCCGTAAAACGATTATCTAAGATGTTTTTCAAGAATTCTTATCGGTACGAAACTCAGTTTCCTGAAACTCATTCAAGAAAGTCTAAAAAATCTTTAGAATAAAAGTTTCTGTGCCAAATCAAAAGACTGGAATAAATTTTCATTGCTTGTTTTTTTTTCTTTTTAATATTTAGAATCTTTGCTCAAATGTTTAGCGATTCTTAAAACAGAAGCTTCAGCGGAATTTTGAGATTTGATTAATTTATTTCTTAATCGAAAGGAGATAATTTTTTGTCTGTTCGGTGTAAAATGACGTGTTTTTAAAAATCTCTTTCCAGACGAAAAAGTTACTATAAATCCTTTTATAAGCTTCTAAGGATAAAATTTGACCGATTTGCATTTGAAAGTGGTTTTTCCTTTCTTAACTTTTTTTTTTTTTTTTGAATAAACGAAAAAAACTTTTCCATTCTGATCGTATTGCGGTCACAATAAAATCGTAAAAATGGCCTTCTTTATCATTTAAAGATTCGTCATTTTATCATTCCTCGAATTATATGAATTAATATTTTCTTCTTTTTTGATTTTGACACTACATTTAAGCAGATACATTCATTGGCTTTTCTCATATTTATAATTCATCTACCAGAATATGGAATTTCAGAGATTGATGATGCCTCTAGGATAAATTGGCACTTAGATTTAGAACTATTTGTAGGAATCATCCTCTCCAACTGAATTTAATTATAAAGGAAGATTACAGAATGCATCAACCGAAATATAGGGATAAAACCAACAAAAATTAGGGTCTTAATCCCAACAACGTTTGGATTAATAGTAATCTGAAACGTAAAATTGTTTTTTGTGAATCTTATTGAGATACTTAATTTTAAAGGGACATATTTTCATTGTTCCACGAATTATTTCAATTCATCTTAGCACCTCAGAGGACAGATAACCATATTAGAAATTGCGTAAGTGAAAAGAAACAGCACATATGAATTTTTCAAAAAGAAATCCACGGGCAGAAACCATATAGGAATTAATGCTTAGACAATATTTGAACGCGAATGACTTCAATATAAATAATTAATAACTATATTTTTTGTGTTTTATAAAAACCTTTTGTCAGTTAGGTACGGAGAATTTTCTGCGTGTGATTTCGACATTCGGGTCTTTTACTGAACGGAAGATTCAAAGACTAGCTGATGCAAAATACACTGGTGGAAGGCTGAAGAACATACAGGCCAAAATATTGTTATAAAAACAAATTGATGAAAATATGTCGAATAATTCGTGGAGTAAAAAAGCATGGATGTTAGCGTTTCCCTTTTGTTCAAACAATCGCTTTTGGCTTTTCAATCATTATCGCCGGTCACTTAAAGATAAGAAGTCATTGTAATAATGTCAGGAGAAATGATATCATCTCCATAATGCTACTATATGAGCCTGTGTTTTAGAGGGGGAGGGGCTAAAAAGCCCCCTAAGTGTGTTTAGGGTCCAGGGAATGGAAAGCAAGACGATTGACTGCCAGAAGAAAAATCATTTAAAGCTAAGTGTGAAATAAACAGGGTTCATCATACAAAATCAATTTTGTCATATTTTAATTTGTTAAATATTGATTTGCATTTATATATTTTGGAATTGGTTTGTATGAAGAAGAGACAAAAACTTCTAACAGTGCGTAGAGATAACAGCCTTGGTATCATTAGGAAGACACAGAATGATTGTTCAAGGTATTGTCTATTCACAGGGATTTTAAAAAAGACTGAAAACACTTGGAAATGAACAGTGAGGTTGTAGAAATCATTAATATCAGAAATCGTTAGTAACTAAAATAATTTTGCAAAAAAAAAAAAAAAAAAAAATATTAACCTAATATTTGAGAAATGTTCTTCTGTTTATGTCTTTTGCCATCCATAAGCCTTCGGGCCGAATTTAAAGCATAGTTTTTTGGGAAAACCACTCGCTTTTGGAAGAGAGTCGAAGTATCCTGCACTTCTGCAGAACCTATGTAGGGAGAGAATAATAGTGTCATAACCTTGTTTGATGACATCATTACTAATGACAACTAAAAAGTCGTCGCTTAGCAACAGTCATTAAGTTCGTTTCATTGGTTTACATAAAACTGGCCTCCATGAAACAAATAGTTGCCTTTTTGGTGGTTTGCACGCAAGGGAGGGCAACGAAATACTTACCAATGCAAAAATAAGTCAATAGCATCTTTTCGATTTTGTCAATTTCAAATTTTCTGCTCAGACGAATTAACACAATTATGGAAATGCACATCAGCAGACACATATGTTTTTCTTTTAACGTTCACAATTCACTTGGTTTAAAGTCCTCTTTATGAACAATGATTAAGACCACACAACCACGAAGAGCTTTCCTTTAATAGTTTATTTTTGTATAGCGTTATATAGTGCGATATTTACTGTATTAGAAATTTAGACATTTTGAAATTTATTCAAAATGACAATAATGAACTCATTATATACTAAATATAACAGATTTTTATATAAAATTAATATCTTCTTAAACCTCCATTGTTTTTGAAATCATTTTTAACATCTAGAATTATAGAAATCAACTGGTTTCTGCGTTTGGTCTATTGCTATATTTACCTTGAAACATTTGAAGGAAATCGGGTTTTATAAATACAGAGTCATAAAAGGGGCGAGTATTTTAACAGCTTTTTCAATTAATTTTCAATATTTTTTGCTATTAACGAAAACTCGGCCTGGAGAAGACTCTCAAAAATTAAGACCCGGATTTCTTCTCACTTTTCATTTAAATCTATCTATCTATCTATCTATCTATCTATATATATATATATATATATATATGGGATAACGGTATATAATTTTTTATATATCAATAAGAATTTTGGAGGAACAATGTATGACAAAGTGGAAAAAAGATTTAGTATGACGCGTTACATCCCTTAGGATTTTGTTTAAGTTTATGCGATTACACATGAGCACGAACGAGAGACGCTGGGAATTTTCAATTTAGAATGAATTTGTTTTATGTGTTCTGGCGAAACAATCGAGCCAATTTCATTTAGATTCTTTTTCTTTATGTTTCCATAAATTTTGTTATAACAGAGAAGATCTGCCAATAATGGTGAAACTAGCGTCCGGGTTCTTACAACGTTTCAGCATTCTTGACAGATTTTCTGCTATCACAATGTGCGATATTTAATAACAAAGACGAGGGAAACAAAAATAAAAAGAATCTAAATGAAAAAAGCCCACACAAAACACATTTAAAAATTAAAAATCCCAGCGTGTCTCGTTCATGTGCATATATAGTCGAATCAACAAACCTAGTCCGATGAAGTCGTAAGGGACGAAACGCATCACATGAAAACCTTTTGCACTTTGTCAGATATATATATATATATATATATATATATATATATATATATATATATATATATATATATGAGGTCTGATCAAAGTGTCAATACTGGTGCTATAAAAAGAAAACTATCACATATATCAATTCGGCATTTAAACTCCTCCAAATTTGCCCCCTTCTGAAATCACATATTTTATCCAACATCGTCTTAATTAATGGAAAAATTCAGGGCACTCCATTTTGCGGATAGCGAGCAGCTGTCACGTTGTATTCCCATGGATTGCTTCGACGTCTTGTTCCTTACAGGTATGATTTGATTTTTGGCGAGGAAAATGTAGCAAGGGACGAGATCTGGGAAATATGGTAGTTGTTGGACCTGGGGAATGGTGTACTTAGCCAAAAACTGATTCAAAAGCCATTGGTCACTAATGAAACCTCTCTGATCCACTAGTGACTAATAGAACATACTCTACACACTTACATACCAAATTCTGCTATAAACAAGGGAAGTGAACGAGGACGTTATAACCTAATGTGGATGCGCAACAGAATTCAAGGTTAATCTGTACCAAGCGACTTCGCTGTGCGTAATTCAGTTCCGTTACTATAGTAAAAAGTCCAGAGACCTTTTTGATCAAACCACGTATATATCAGGGTAGAGAGAAACAGAAACAATATATATATATTTATATATATATATATATATATATATATATATATATATATATATATATATATATATATATATATATATATATATATATATATATATATATATATATATATATATATATATATATATATATATATATCCTGATATATATATATATATATATATGATATATATATATATATATATATATATATATATATATATATATATATATATATATATATATATATATATATATATATATATATATATATATATATATATATATATATATATATATATATATATATATATATATATAGATAGATAGATAGAGATATAGATATAGGTTTTTGGAGC